TAGCTTTGGGAAATATGACATTGAACCTGTCATTATTCACATTCCTTAATCTTTTTATCCACAGTTCAACTTTATTTTCAACACTATATTTCAACTTTATCCATAACAGTATTTTAACTTAAATTACCAGCATTTTGATTTTATTGACTTGGTGAGGAAGAGGGAAATCATGTTTTTTTTTTAAAGAACATATTGAAAAAATATATTCTATCCTTTATTTGGTGAAGGGACATTTGAATGCTTCCAACTACCCCAATAACCCCCAAAATAGACGAGTAGATATCACCTAAAGTCTTAAAATGTGAGATATCAACTAAAATGTTGAGTTCTCTGATACTTGTAGATCTGTGGAATTAAACTTTTATTCTTCTTGTGGATTGAAGACAAGGAAACACCACAAAAATGTGGGAGGTCGATGGGAGTCAACACATGGTCCTCACTACATATAGCAAGATGAGAGAGTGTGTTTGTGTATGTTGTGAAGGTGTATCTTAATTACTCTATGATGCTCAATTCCAATTTGTTTCTGAGTTTTTAGAGCTTTCCTGGCTGCAGTTCAGCCTTTCAGTCACAGTCTGGATTTACACTCCCATAGCTGTATGAAAGGTAGAGAAACAGCCCTTTTTATCAAAGGAGAAGGATGACATCCTGCAGAGATTCTGATTAATTTGATGGACATTTTAGCTGTATGGTAATGGTTTAAACATTAAATCCAAATTTGTTTCCTTTTAGCGTTAAAATGAAATGCAGCACAAATAACTTGTCATTGCTGTGTCATATTAGCAATCTATGGTTGAGGTTTTATTGAGAAAAATGATTGAATCTGGTGAAAATGGTGATGGTCGGAATTCTATGAATCCATATTAAAAATGCTTCTAATCACATGGAGCATAACTGGCATTTGCTCTCCAAAAGGAGTGTTCAAATTTGAATCGGTCTTTTTGTTTATGATACTGTTATTTGCTGAGTTTTTTTTATTTCGCCACATATTTTTCTATCGTTTCATTTTAATTGAGGTTCATATTCATTTAGGTTTAGTGTTTTCAGGTAATCTTAAAATCATTTTACTTTCAAATATTTAAAGAAATAAATTTATTTTAGAATAGGCCTATATTGTCTTTCAGTCTTTCTTTAAATTTTCAGGTAAATGTGGTTTATTTAAAATAAGATATCTTTCTTCAAAAATATTGTTATTTAATTACTTGAGTTGTGATAATCACATTGATTTATGTTGTCGTATAGAAACTTGGCTGCAGCAAGAGGATTATGTGAGCATAAATGAGGAAACTCCTTCCAGTTATTTAAATTTTCACATACCCAGAAATTCTGGGTTTATCTCTTGAAGCTGAAGCAGAATTGGAGGTAACTATAGAATCTAAACTGCTTAAACTGTTGAGTGTTGACCTTTCAGGGTTAGCAAAATTATTATCTTCATCTAAGCATTTAATTATTTTTTTCATTATCAGTGTATGTGCTTGTTAAATCCTAATAAAACATGCCTGTTACATTTTTAGGGTAATGTTTTCCCCAACCACTTTATCTTTTTAGGACAAGATTTGAAAATGAAATGGGAGCGTACAGGCAGAGTGAATCATTCTTAACAGGGAGCTTTGTTACTGTGCATTCAGATTTTCCTTGAGCTAGAACTCAGTGTATTACATTATCTAGATATGTTTTAACCCAGTGAAGTCTCCTAATTTTCAAACATGTTTATAATATTTTGATGTGAGATGTGGCAGGGTGTGACACTAAAGATGTATAAAATGCTTCTTTTCACCATTATTTGGAGGCTGCTGCTGAATTTCTGACGAAGCGAGCATGATGTTTCCATCCTGTTTGTGCTACCTATATGGTCTGAGTAAGATTACCATTCTGTAAAAACTGTTATCATGTTTTCTATTCTTTAATACAAAAACCTTATAAACTGTTATCTGAAGTGTTTGTTCTTACTGATCTCCTCTCAGGAAAGAATCAGGGAGATAAAGCTTAAAGATGTAAACACAGAACTTTCCTTTCCAAAAGGGAGTTTCCACCCTTACCTGAAAGTAGTATCACTCGTGGAGAGCTGCTGATAGACCAACCCTACAGCTGCACATACAGAGTTGAGGAGATTCCTTTTTAACAAATATCTCCAGTGCTTTTAGCTGTGATTTAAAGTGTTTCTTCCCAGTGATCTTTTCTCAAGGAAGAATCTGGGAGAGAAAACTTAAAGATGTAAACATAGAGCTTTTCTTTACACCTTCAACTTGTATGTTATATCCAGTGTCACTCAGGTTATTTAGTGAAGTATTCCCTCTGATTTCCAACTCAATTTTAGATGTGATTAATCTATCCCTGTTACAGGGATATGTACCTCCAGCTTTTAAGGTAGCCATTATTAAACCTTTAATTAACAAACAGTCATACACACTCCGCTTTGTTTAAAAAAATATATATATATATATAAAAAATATAACCGCGGATGTCTGGGGAACAGTGATTCGCCTATATGTTATGAATGCTGGCGTACCATAAATGATAAATTATGAACAGTTTAGTTTGTGCCTTCAAGTCGTTTCCCATAGGAAGACGTTACTTGGATATAACCTAACGGAATATCTTCAGAAAAGCTCCAAATGACACAAAACTCATATGGGTGAGTAGAATATGATGTAATAACGTAAAATCAAGGGCCCAATGTAAAAAACAAAAGGCGTTCCCCTTTAACTTTCTGCTTCTCTGTTTTGTCTGAATTCAGAAAAAACATAAGTTATTGTCTTTGGACCAGAGTCCAAACTGTTACTTCAAGGCTGGACGATTGTAATTCTTTACTATCAGGAAGACCCCAAACTGTAGTTAAAAGCCTTCAGCTGATCCAAAATGCTGCAGCCAGAGTTCTGATGAAAATTAAAAAGAGAGATCATATCTCTCCTATCCTGGCTTCTCTTCATTGGTTTCCTGTTAAATCCAGAATAGAATTTAAAATCCTTCTTCTCACATATAAAGCCTTAAATGGCCAAGCTCCATCTTATATCAGAGATCTGATTGTTCCTTATGTTCCTAACAGAGCACTTCACTCTCAATCTGCAGGTTTACTAGTGGTTCCTAGAATTTCTGAACGTAGAATGGGAGGCAGATCTTTTAGTTATCAGGCTCCTCTCCTGTCTACTTTTAAAGCAATATGGTTTATCAAGGTAATAATTTCTTTCTTGACTTTAGTTCTTGACTTGCTCTCTTCATGCCTGATGTATATTGTGGGATTTTGTGTCCACCATGTAAGAGTTGTTCCCATATATCACTATGGTTTCAGTGGAGTAGAACTCTGGCTTCCTCTGATTCCAGCAGCTCTGACGAGCCTGTCCCAAAGGCTTACTGTATACCAATCATCGGCATCATCGCTCAGAGGTCAAGAAGTTCACTTTCTGAGGCAGATTGACTAATATGACTTTCTTGTTGAGGTGGACAATAAGGCAACTGCCTAAACCTTTACATTTTTCTCTCTTAAAAAAAAAAGCTCAAAAGTTCACTTTTAAGTGTGTCTCACAAAATATAAAGTACTATAATACTGAAGAAAGAAAAACCTTTTTAATTGCACAAATGAAAACATGATCAAAGAATTACTCAAAAATAGGCTGAGCAAAGTTTTGAAGTTTCTTAGTGACAGTTATTAACAAAACCACTGCAGTGTCAGACAAAATCTGAATCTAGATGAATAATTTCAGAGTTTCACAGTAAAACTGATGAATAATTATCCAGCTCATGGCAGCATGTAACCTGCATGATGCTGAACCGTTTGGAAAATGAAAAAAAAGCCGGAATCTTAGAGGCCCACACCATTTCCCTGTCATTCATTTCCATAGCTTCCTTCATTTATTCCTATCTTGATTATATTTAATCAATTATCTCATTAGCCTTTTTTTTTTCCAATATCCCTTCTGGGACACTTTTTTTTTCATTTAAATCTGGTGTAGTCTGGCATTCTTTCCCACAGCTGTCAGGCTCCTGAATGCCTCCTGACACAACTACTGTATAAGGACTGTTTCCCCCCACACAATAATAACATATGGACTGTCCTCACACTCACACACATACCATGGACTGTTCCCCTCACACACATACACAATCTGAATATAATCTGTAAATCTTATCTGCCATTATTTATTTATCTTGTATAATAAACCCGCTAATACATATATAATCCTTTTCCTAACATTCCTGTATATTCTGTATAATCTGTGCATGTAGCTCCCATATTCATATTCATATCTATATTTATATTTATAAACAACTTTTTACAGTCCCTAGCTATTACTCTTTGCTTGTACATACACCTGTAATAATATTTATATCCTGTATAGCACTTCTGGATAGATGCAAACCACATTTCGTTGCTTTGTACTCATGACTTGTGCAATGACAATAAAGTTGAATTCTATTCTATTCTATTCTATTCTAAATTTCTAAAACTCTCCCCCTTTGTTTAAGTTTATGTAGTCTTTCTGCATTTAGCAGCTTTTGTCCAAACATATTCATTACTCACACTGTGGGGAGAGTTAGCCTAGTGGTTAGAGCAGTGCGCTTGCGCTCTGAGAAGGTTGCAAGTACCTGGTTCCACCCACAGTCTGCAAACTGGGTTCCTGAGCAAGACCCTTAGCCCCTGACTGCTCCCCAGGCGCTGCACAGTGGAAGCCCACTGCTCCCTAAGGGGATGGGTTAAGATGCAGAAGTAAATTTCTCCATTGCAAGATCAATTAAGTTAAATTATTATTACAATATACTGGTTGTTTTCTTTTTTAATGGAATTTAAAAAATGTAATTTGGCACTGAATATAATTTCAAATCTCGTCGAATTTCAGCTAATGTCAGTCTCTATTCAAATTTAAAATGGTATGCATGAGAGAACATTGATAAAACAATACATACAGAGTGTACTGCATATTCTAAAACAGAGAGCATGACTTCGGAGGGTAAAATGATTGCAGTTATGATCATATATGAAAACCAAGAGAAAAATGCTTTGCCAATAATGTTGGTTTTTAGTTTGGTGAAATTGTCCTTCTCCTCAGACATCCACAGGTAAGATACTTCATGGCGGTCATGCTGACATGCATTAGTGGGCCCATGTTAAAAAGCATGTGGTAGAAGGCATGAACAGACAGCCCTCCAGTTTCATCAGCATATTTCAGTGCAACGATGGGCGTGTACAGCGGATTGGTCAGATTACGGAAACGGGGTGGCCTTGCTTCAATCACTTTCTGGGTGCACTGCAGAAAAGGAAATACATTTACACTCAGCTAAATGAAAAAACATAGAGAAAGTTGCACTGATAAAAGTTAGTTTTACTCTTGCAATGTCATCAGGTGTTTGTCCAAGTGCCTCAAAAATGTCCACAGAGGAAGGGAGGTAGACATTTTTGAAGTAATGCACCGTATCAGGGTCTGCTCCTGGATACTCTTTCTGTTTCACATCCTGAATCATCTTTGCTTCAAATTCTGTGTGAACTGGTCCTGGCTCAATCATCGATAGGCTGTGAGCAGATACATTCAGAGAAACAAGTTATTTCAACAATGAAAACAATAACTCTATCCCCAAATATTATCTTTGTATATATTTAAGAGCTCTATTTTGGTTAAGTTGGCCTGTTTTACTTTTATTAATTAGAACTTTATTACTTTTTTTTGCTCACATTTACCATATTAACTAATCAACTATTATCATTATTAGATATATTAATGATGTTTTGTTTTAATTTAAGCAAGGCATTTAGCCCCAAGAGGCCAAAGGTCTATGTATGAATGTAAATATTTCACATTGATTCTGTCCTGAACAATATCCTTTGGTATTTTTGCATTTTTTACAATATAATTTTGGGAAATTGAAACTGGACCTTCAAGACTGACTTGCATCAATTAAAACAGATTTGAAATAATCTGCTGTTTTTTATTTTTTTTTATTTCAATTTTGTGTTTTTTCTTTCATTTTTTGACATAAATCTTTCTTTTTTGAAAAACATTTCACTCTGGATCCTATTTAAACCAGCTCACTAATGGACTTTACAAAGAAACATCACTTAAATTCAGCTATATTAAGGCAATTTCTAAGTTAAGACATTGGTGTAAAAAGTGATTAAGCTAAGTTGGTTTAAAAATTCAACGACAGGCTGGCAGAAAATTCATGATAACTTAAGTGTACTGCTTCCTAGCCATTAAAACAACAAAATAGTCTCTATGTTTCATAAAATCTCTGACATTTAATGATAGATTACTTCACTGATACTTACATGACGTTAAACTTTAAAAGCTGAACAGCCAAACTCTCGCAAAAGCCCTCCATGGCAAACTTAGAAGCAGCGTAGACATCATTAAACACGACCCCTGCGGAAAAACAGATTTGATTTTAGTCTGTGGAGAGACTTAGTGGGTAATATTAGCCTCCTAATCCACAAATGTTTCCTTTTGTCCATTATCCAACCCCTCAGCCATTATAGCAAAGCGGATGATTTTGTTTGTTGTGTGTAGCATTGCTGCTAACCTTGTAATCCCATAACACTGCTGACCACAATGATGTGTCCCGCTCTCCTTTTCTTCATATCCGGCATCACTTCCTTGATCATCCTGATGACCCCAAAGAAATTAGTCTCAAAGACTTTCTTCATCTCTTCGATAGGAATGCTTTCTAATGGACCCACTAAACCAATTCCAGCATTGTTGACTGGTTAGGACAAGGGAAACCAGAGGGGGAAGATAGGTAATGAAATATATATTATAGACCATTTTATTTACTGTATAAAATTTGTGATATTTGACTTACTAAGGACGTCTACATGTCGATCTTTGATACCATCAATGCACTGTTTTACAGATTCATCACTGCAGACATCCAGAACAGCTAGAGACAGAGTTTTCCCGTATGCATCCCCTGCAGCTTCCACCAGCTTGTCTTTGCGTTTCAGGTCACGCATTGTGGCAATTACTGAAAAAAAGAAGAAAAATGTTAATCCTGTTCTTAAAGGCCAACAGTTTACATTCCAAAATAAATATTTTAAGAAATAAATAGAAACAACTTTTTTATTTAAATAGTAACTATATATTGAGAAGCTTCAATAGGTTTTCATGGCAAAAAACAATCAGTATCATCGATTAACCCTTTTCCTCTTTTTTTATTCATGCAGAACCTCTTTCCTTTGTCCTCTTTTAACACAGAGCAGACAATTATGTGTTTGGGATAGAATTTAACAGCACAAAACCTTCAGCTGTTGCAGCAAGTGAATAATGATTAGGCAGCATGCCCAGCTACAGTAGTAGTAGTAATTTGCACCACAACATTTACAAATCACATGGATTTGCTGACTGACCACAAGTGCATTCTGATTGTGCTCTGAAGTTGTATTTCTCCGGGTTGCTTGTTGAAACATGACAAGAACCTCAAAGTAATTATATAATTTGGAAAAGCAGTACTATGCAAGCCTGGATGGGTTTTAGTATCAGTAGGACTATTATGGAGCTTATGAGAAAAACAATTAGCATGTCTGGTAGTTTTTATCTCATAAGATTAATTATTTACAACAACTATTGGTGAACATTCCTCAGTTGCTTCATAACATATATTTTGCTCATATTTGAAAGCAGGTAACACAGAAATCTGTACCTTCAACGTTTATAGGAGCGTTTAGGGAAGATCATCAATAATACCTGATCATTTCAGGCCAGGTGCTTGGTTTGATACTGTAAAGAAAAACACTGTATCTAAAGATAGTGGGTATAGTATAAATAAACCTTAAGACTCTCCTGTTGTGCGTAATCAGCTCTGTTAAGGCAGCTACTTTACATAGTCGTGTTAGCTGTTATTCCCAGATGGCGCTCACATCTCAAGCCCATTTTAGAAACGGCTTCAACTAGATTCAGACTTTACGAGTCAGACAATAATTAGCCTAAGCAGGGCTTTACTGTCTTTTTTCAACAATTGTCTGGGATATTAAGAGTTCAAAGGTTATTTTAGGAACCAAAGTGATGGATTTTCCTCATGGTCTAATTCAAAGTAAAGACTTTATACTATGAGCTCAATTAAAATATAAGATTCAAGAAAGTTTATTTTTATTATGTTTATTAATAATAACAAAAGTTATTTAAACTTTTCAATAACTTACAACCAAAAGTAGAAAACATAAAAACTTAATTAAAGTTTGATATTTACGTTTCTGAACCTTATATAGAGTATCTATGTTTGTAAAACCACTATGGAGCCAAATGTGACAGAAATAAGTTGTAAAGAAGTAAGATCAACATACAAACACAAAGGACAATTTGGTAAACGTGGATGGAAGGTTACTTTCTAAGTGATTGCTCATAGCTTTGCAAAACAACTAAATTTTTTGCCTGTTCATGACTTCTTCTGTATTAGAGAACAATTTATCTTTTCTGCCTCGCTTTAGTCTATTGGATTTGGTATACAGTATATATACATATATAAACATAAAAAAACTAATATTTTGGGTAAATTAGAATTAATTGTGTTTTGAGAAAAATCTGTCCAGTGTTTGGATCTGTGAGGTTTTGCTCGGTTGATCTGACTGTTCACAAGGACTCCTACAGTAAACACTTCGATTTAAATACATGGCTGTAAAAAAATAAAAAAGCAAGATTAGAAAAAAAAAATCAACTGCTTTCAATTCTTTATGATACATTTATTATTTCCAACTCATGTGGAAACCAAATGAAAGGAAAGCCAATTCACAGAGATTAGTCAAAATAACCTGGTTGAATAATATGTACATCATCTTTTAGGGATTTTCATCTTCTGCAGATATTTTCCCATTGGATTCAAACTATAATTTTCAGCGAGGTTGCAAGTGGTTAACAAGATTTAACTATACAAAGACATTCAGGAGAATTTTACCAAAAAAATCTGAAAGCTATTTCAGTCAAGTTTAAAGCTTTTATACTGTTTGTATTTTTAGACTACTATCACTTCTTTTTGGAGATATACATTATACTCAGGTTTTGAGGTTATGGCTTGCCATTTTAAATTTTCTGACTTTTAGACCCTTTTATTTCCCATTTTATTTTTTATGACTTACGTGAAATTATGATTCCTGAAAAACAAACCATGATTAACCATAAGATGAATGCCTGTTTTCTCTTTAAACTGAAAAATAGCAAATATGAAAAATTGGTTGCTAAACCCTTTATTTCTATTTTGATTATAATGCAATCCAATTTTTGCTGGCTCAATGATGTGCATTTAATGTGCAACTATCTGGTTTTTAACTAGGATCATATACGTCACAATACAGTTCAACAGGTGGCTAATGTGTTTCAGTTTGAGTATTTTGTTTGAAAAGTAGCTCAGGTTGGCACTTATATCTTCATATCAAATATATTTGGCAAACCTTTACAGAAAGGCATGGGCTTCTGTTTTATTAATATTTTTTTATTTGCTGAAATGTTAGCTTGTATAAAACTCAACTGACCTCTGACCTTTATGTGTAAACTGAGATGCTGTCAGATCAAAAATTCCTCTTAATCTTGATGTAGATAAATCATTTCAATTTTGTTGTTTTAGTGTCCTATGATTTAACAGAAACAGTGAGTCTACTTCAGATATCTTCAATTACATCCAATTCAATGGATTCATATACAATTGAATGCAACTTGTCTCTTTACAGAGATGAATGTGTGTTCAATCAGATCACACAGTCAGATTAGTTAGTTTTCTATTTAAGGATAGATAAACGATAAGATAAAAAGGTACTGGACATAGCCCCTTGCACTATGTAACACTAGTGGTCATTAGGTGATTATAGAGAAATAAGGAGATAGTAAAGTTAAGGGAAATTGAATCACTTCTACTGATTTTTTTTTTAAGCATACTTCCCCAACTTCTCTTAGAAACTTTAAACTATATCTTATTTCATTACCACATTAATAGAATTTAAGTGACATTAAACTCATCCATCTACAACCTCACCTTGATAGCGCTTCTTTTCATCCTTGGCCAGCATCACAGCAATCCTCAGGCCAATCCCAGAGGAGCAGCCAGTGATCAGGACCACTTTCTGTTCAGGACTCACCATGGTTTTACTGTCAGTCCTGCTCTGTTTGCCAACTGTGAGACCGGCAGATCGGGTGGCTAAGCAAAATGAGTGCTGACCTGAAGTGAGACCTGAGATAAGAGGATAACATACACAGAGAGTGGGTCACATGGACAGGGCGATCAGCCACTGCAAACCTGGGATTAGCTAAAGGGATGCCCCTTCATAACAGATAGTAGGGTAAAAAAAAATACAATAAACCAATGTTGTATAGAGCGTACTAAGATGTAAAGACATGAATATTTATTTCATGACTGCCTAACAGGTACTGTGTTAAAGAAAGGGGGGAAATTGAAAGGTGTCAATAGAGAAAAAAAAAAAGCTAGATTTGGCGCCACCTATTGCTCTTTTGTACATATTGCACAAAGAACAAGTCATCTAAAACAAAAGCAGTTAGTTTAGTCTCAGTCACTTTGGACCTTTTCTCACAAGAGCATCACAGTTTACACTAATGCTAAGGTGTTTCTCAAAACAATGCAAACTGCAGAACATAGATAGCCTGCAAAGGAGACTCACTGTTAGACAATGGGAAGGCCATAGCATAAAAGATAGTAGCTGAAAATGGGTAGTTCATTCTTCAAAAGCAAGTGGCCAGTGTCATAAAATGACAAGTTATGACAGCAGCATCTTTGAAATATCAAGACAAAAAAATGTAATATGTTTTCACTGTGACGGATTACGTTGGAAGTGCTTCCTCATATCATGTAAAGTAAAGCCAGTATTATATGGAATTTTAAAAACTAGAATAAAAAAAGTCAAGACAATGAATATGCACTTTACTTTATATGGTATATTTGCACAAAAAGCAACTTTACAAATATAAACTTTACTTGGTTTAATAAACTTCACTGCAGTAGTTTTTGAAACTGAAAGTACTGTAAAATAGTGCTGCAAATCAGTCTTGGCCACATATTTTCATCTACATCGCAACGAATATCAGTTCTGTCAATGCACTGAGGAAAGTATCTTCTTAATGTCACCACAAGCTGCATTCATGATTGCTTGCAGGGTCATCTGGGTATGTGGATGCCTGTTATATACATTCCACTTCCAGGAAAATAAAATCTCCTCAGCTACATTTAGGATCGGAGAGTAGATAGGGAGATACTCCACAACCATCCTGTCATATGCTGCAAACCACCACCGTTTTCTGAGATTGCTGCACACATTGTAATATTCCCTCCTCTTTGGCCTGGGACAGCAATAGTGGCTCTCTCTTCAATGTAATTTCTTCCACACAGATTGAATCCCATTTCATCATAATGTACGAAGATGTGCAGTGGTTCTTTGGCCTCCAAATCCAGGATATGCTATACAGAGGGAAAAAAAGTAATTCAGTGTAACAAAGCATTTGGCAGAACAAAATGTAAGGAATACACTATAAATATACTATACACTGTAATATACCCTACACTGTAAAGCAAGTGCAACGTTTAGCTGTACATAAAAGTTAGAAGTAAAGGACCTCACAAAGTAAAACATGCATATATTTATACTGGTGAGGGCCCTCCTTCATTTGATCACTGTTCTGTTCAAATGATTAATTGTATAATTGTTTCATGTACATTTCATCCGTCTGATCACTCTGTCTATTGTAGAAATTGATATTGATAGAATATTTTCAAAGGTGTAGTCATTTTCCAGATCACCTCATTGTATGTCTCACAGTCTTATAGCATCGATGCAAACTCCGTTTTACAAATGTCTTTTTGTCGCACAGTCAAAAGAGGAGGCCCTTCTAGGTGGTCTTGAAATCATTTTTGAGGCGCAGAAAAAAGCAAGCATGCAATATTTTTATAGTTCTGTAATACAATATTGTTTTCTTTACTGTTACAATACATCACACTATGTCACACCAACTCTGAGTCGCATTGACATTAAATTGTGTACTTATAAAGAGTGACAAGGACATGTTCCAATGAAAGCTTCTTTGATGATCATGATAGTGCATTTATATTGTGCTGATTAACCTTAAATTACTGTATGTTCACCTTACAAAATGTGTGAATAATTGAACTGACTGTGGTTCTCCCTACATTTGGTTTCCCCTGACCAGCCTCAGCCACTCTAAGGCTGTGAATTACCACATGATCCATACGTGTTGCCTTTTTTTCATCAGGAATCTGTTATATGGTTGACATCTTCTTCCTTGGTTTTGTCTCCTTCCTCCACGCATCCTCATCCCCCTTCCACAAGGCTGACCTATTTCCGTTTTGTAGATATAGCATGCACCACATGATGACATGATGATCCGATGGACTGCCAAACGAGATGCCACTTATAGGTAGAACTTTGGTCAGTCTGGTCAATTGTTATTATTTTCTTCCAATCTTGAAGGCATGTTAATAAATATGGCAGTACCACATATTATCATGTACAGCTGGTACAATTACATTATAACTGCATTGTGCTTTAAAAAATATATTTAACATTTTTTTGATACTGCAGTTAAAAAGATTCAATTCTGATTTGGAAAATCCTAATTATAAATTATGTTTATGAAAATGATGTGTATGTTTAAATTTTGTCACAAAAAAACACACCCCTCTTTATTGTAGCTAGCAGTGTTTTAGTTTCAGAATACATAAAGAAGGAGAAAGGGTTATTGGAAAAATGCCTGGAATCTGTTTCCTGCAGTCACTGTCTGCACATCTGAAAGCTGCAGTTCTGTAACAAAACCACTACTGTTCCAAAAGCATAAGCTCCCTCTAGTTATTATTCAACACATGAATGGTATCTTTATTTTTAATCTTGTAAGCTACACGACACCTGACTTCTGAGCCAAAAGGTTTGATCCTAAAAAGATAAAGATGACAATATCTACTAAAAAGTATTAGTAGACTAACTAAATAAATCATCATGAAGAGTTTGATTTATCCAAAATACTTTATAATGGACTTCATTTTTTCTTAATATCATTTATTTTAACTTCAAACCATCAGATGGTATTCCAATGTTAAAGTGGTCTTGAGGAATGATTTGACAGGTTTCTGATGGACTTTTTTCATTAGACTTCAGTTTCTTCATTTCTCATTTCTGAGTCCGATCCTTTCTTTTGAGGTTGTGGAAATAAGAGCAAGCATCAGAGCTGGAAAAAATGAATAACCTACAATATTTTAGCATTTATTGATCATGAATAATTTAAAAGAACTAGCTGGACTTCAAAATGTTGACAGAAAGGACATTTTAGAACATTTACACTGAATTTGAAATGAAAAATGTAGAATAATTTGAAGGATTTGGCATTATGAATCATGCACATATTAAAAAGATACCTTTGTACAAAACAGACAAATATAAATTGGTATGTAAAATATATGAAATGATGGCTAAAAGAAGAATCAACATGTCAGCCTCATTCTTTCTTGAACCTATCCTAATATCTCATAAAGGTTTTCCTAATAGTCTCCTTTAACCCTTCCACCTTATGGGCAGAGCCCCGAACACTCTGGAAGCATGGGGGTCATCCTTTTTTTTTTTTTTTGCTTTCACTGCATGTGCATATCTTAGGAGCCCTGTTTGAAAAGAGTCAAGGGTGGGCAAAGACAGACAGGCAAAGGAATTTGGAATCTGCAGCAACATATTTTTATTATTTGGGCAGCAACGCTGTCCTGTCTCAGCATGCTACACTAGCTCATAGGCTGGAGCGCATCTTCAAAGACAGAAATAGACAGAAGGACAGAAAGAAATCCAGCGTGGAACCGACTCTCACTGTTTCAGATCCTTTATGGATTAAAGTTAACCTCCTCGGCCAGGATTCTGAAGTTTGCATCTGATAAACTGTGACACAATTGTCTGATGCAAGCCCATTATTTGCATGATTTTTATATAATGGGTAATAAAAACATGGACATATCCAGGATATCACAATATGCCAGTTTTTTAAATAAACCAATCAAACTCACTGATAATTATGCTGTGTTTATTTGGGTTATATACATATGAACCAGGCATATGAACCAGGCTAATCAGGTGGCAAAGAAAAAAATAATTCAAAGATTTGTCATAGTTTCCATCCTTACATGTTTAAATGCAGAGCTTTAATACCAAGATGATGAATCTGTGAAGGTGAATCAAAATGACAGTAGTTCTCTTTAGTACATTGAGAAAAACATGTTAGTTTCTGTTCCTGTAAGAAATGTCATTAAAGTCTACATATTTATATCTAGTAAAATAAATCTCTGCTTATATCACAATAAATTGTTTTTCTGAGCTTTAACTTATTAATTCATTTTTCTTTTTCTGACAACCAAGCAATGGGATCTTTTTTTCTCCTTCCACCTGTTGTCTGAATTCGTAGTCTTGTCACTTATTTCAAAAAGAGAAAACTTAATACCATATTGATTCATTACAAAGAGAAATATTTTAATCATTAATTTCTTGTAATTCTAGTGATTATGAGTTACAGATAATGAAAACTCTAAATTTTGAAATTAGAACATGTAAAGTTAAATATTTAAAAGCTCACTTTTTCAGAACTTTAACAGCTAATTAACTTAAAATATCCAAAAAGGAATCCAAAGGCTGTAATTGGTCTCTCAATGTAGATTAACTGTAGGCTGGGCAGGACTGCTGTCCAGACAATCACTGGTAAGTCAACGAAAATAGTGTTTTCCTAGAAAGCTGAGTAGAAGAAAAAGGTGTGTTAGTAAAGTATGCACCAGCCTTAAAAAGGGTAGTGAAGAAAAATCTATTCAAGATTTTAGGGGAGCTTTATGAGGAGAGAGGCTGCAGTCAGTTCATCAAGAGATGTTTATGCATACACAAATCCTACATGGGCTACAAATATAGCATTCCTCATGCCAGACTAAACCTCTGTATTCAGATGAAAGTAAATTTTGCTTTTTGTTTTGACATCAATGTTTTCCAATCTGGAAGGTAACTTAAGAGGTGTAGAACCCCTGTTGCCAGGGTTCAGTCCAGTATGAAGTTTTTTTCAAACTCATTGAGGATTCGGGTATCATGTTGTCTGTTGAGATCGATCCACTGTGTTTTCTAAAGTCCACAGCCAATGCAGCCCTCTACCAAGACATTATAGAGCACTTCATGTTGCCTTATGCTGATTTCAGTTTCCAGTAAAACTCGACACCTCTCCATTCTGCCAAAGGTCCCAAAAACCCTGGTGTTACTGTCATTCACTACTTCTGGTCAATAAAAAAAAACATTAGAAAACAGTTAATTATTGCTCCCAGGATATAATAGGTCCTGCATCAAAAGCATTTGTTTTTTGTTTTTCCTTCTCAGTAAAATATGACTAATAAAGTTAAGTGGTATTTAAACCAGAAGACTCACCCAAGCATTTATAAAAAAAAAAAAAAAAAACAGAGCAGCTGCTAGGGCATCTATCACAGGAAACTCTGTAAGAGGAAACACAGGTTAGTGACCATGATAATCTGCTGGAGGATTGCTATGAAGCATGAGTCACTAACCTGGTTTAACAGTTCAGCTAATGTCTAGCGGAGACAGGTCAGGCAAACAGATCAGAACTGGAAGGCTCAGAGGTCCAGGAGTCCGAAGCCAGGGCAGAGCAGGAACAGCGTGGTCCAGGAGTCTAAAGACAGTTCAGGCAAACCGTTTGGACCAGAACAGGCAGGCTCAGTGTTTTAGAGGCAGACCAGGTCAGGATCAGGTAATCAGAAACACTAAGGTCGGCTAAAACCACCTCACCACTGGTACACGAGAATGAGATTCTGCCTATGACCGCTGGATGCAAAAACCTTAAACAGTGGCAGGAGCAGGTTAAATTAGATTAGCAGTGATTAGAAATCGGGCAGAGTTGGATAGGAGAATGGAATAAATAATTAAGCCAGTCATCAGTGCTACGATCATGATAAGCATTATAAGTCCTCATTCCTCCTCAGCCAACAACCCTGGAAAGTTCTCTCTAGGTCTTCAGCTGAGCTTCAATTTGTGTTTAGTGGAGTATATCCTGAGTGTAACATTTATCTGGGAAGAACCCTCATGTAAGAATATTGTTTAATTTCTATTTGCAAGGAAAATTCATTATTTGGTCCAAAATCTTCTTTGTCAAACAGTTTTATCTAATACAAATTTTTCATTTAGTGTTGTTTCTTTCTTTGGAGGATTGGTTTTTGAAAAAAACACAAGACATATTGACAATTTCACAATTCAATTGTCAACCAAACAGAGGATCAGAAATCAGTGGGAGCACTGGGACCAGCCTCAACAGTGTGCCACCTCCTCCATCTGCTGTCACCATGCCGTCATTATCTAACTGGTATTTGAGGCAATTAGGTTATGTTGGTCTCTGGGGTAAATATTACAATCTAACTACTTTCAGATAAATAATTTTTTTTTTAAGGTCAGTACATCAGTTCATTGAATCATGTTAACTATTAATTATATATATTTAAACATCCATGCTGTCTAAATTAAAGGTGTAGTAGAAAAAATTGTTTTATTTTTAAGTTCTGGGGCGAACATTATTCAGTGTCAGTATTTACCTACTTTTATTAATAGTAAATCTGCATACAATTTATATTTACATGTTCTAATATCTACATTAAATGGATTACTTGTTATTAAAATAGTTATTTATCTCTGATTCAGTGAATATTCCTAGATGACTTGCAGAGACATAATTTTCTCTTTACCCAATATAAGACAAAATCTAGTTCTGAAAAGAGCATGAATTCTCTAGTTATCATCTTTAATGTCAGTATATTGATGTGCATAATTAACCACAGCATTTTTGTCATCAGGTAATTGTTCACATATAGAAAATTAAAATGTTAAATAACTTAAAACATTCCACTTAAGAGTATTACTGCTGCCACCTACTGTATTAGGGGGGTGGGGGGTGGGGGTGGCCACAGATTGGATAAGGGTGGCCATGTCCACCCCTGGGCCCATCTAGCTCTGCCCCTCTAATGTTAATGTTAATTTTTCTAACCGTTTGTGCAATGTATAGTTTGGAAAGTACCTATATTTTATAACCTGGGATTTAAAAATAAAGGCTAGAGACATAAACATAGAGACATACCTTACTATATAACCCAGTAATAGTTTTAAAGGTGACATGCTTTATAATCATTATTGTGTCCAGCCCCACTAAACCTAAATCTCTCTAGGGAGGGAGGGGTCGTCCGGTGGAGGAGGGAAGAGAAAGTGGGAAAAATTCTCTGGTATGAAAGTTTTCACTCTCATAGTTTTCCTTTTTACTCGCCGCTGGACTGCTGTATCATTAATTATTGGCAGGACCAGTAATTGGAGATTTGAGATTAATCTGACATCATTCTACATCGGCCCTGAAGCGCGCGCGCTCTTCACCGGCTCAGGGAGCGCGCGGCCAGACGCGCTTTTGAACGACTGAAGCAGGAGCAGAGCGTCTAACTGCACATGTCCCGCAAGGGGGGAGTTATTATTAGTGATCAATATGAGGGGCTTTAATTGCAAAATGGTGGATCGATGGAGAACAATAAGCAACGCAAGGATGCCGCCGCCTCTGCTGCTACTGATCTTCACCTTCTTCTATATTTCAAACGCAGGTAGGCTTAATTAAATCACCCTTTTAAAACTAACCTGTCTGATAGGTAAAAGTTTAACATCTAAATCCAACCTTTACTTTTTACTCTCCAATAATTTAGGGACACATGCCTTGTCTGCAGGAGCTGAATTTATATGTAACTGGATCTAACCTTTTGATCCAATCATCTGCATAGAAAAAAATATAAAAACAAATTACTTGTTTTTTGTTTGTATATGTCTGAGGGGCAGATGATTGTCATACAAATCTATTAGTAGTCAAAAACATTCCAATCAAAACTTTTAATGCATATGTCCTCACATATACTGCTTACTTCCAAACTCTTTAAACTACCAATTTCTTGGTTCCAAGAGCCCAGTGCACATCCCATTCTGGCCTCATATGTGTCTGGACTTGTTCTACCATACTTGCTGTTGAATCTTCATACTGCAGCACTTCAGGATATTAAACCTACCCAGCTGGGTAATGGGGAACAGACTCAAGCAACTTAAAGTCTGTTGTGGGTTGAGATGCAGCTGGGATGCTTTCCTTTCTCTCGCCCAACCCCAGCCCATAGCAGCATTGTAGCCAGACCAGGATTACAGCAAAAATAATCTTTCCATGGATTGTTAAGATTAATTTTATTAATAAAAAATCTGACTGCTAATTCCTTTAAATAATACAAGGTAGAGATAGGTAGATCGGACATTATGATGGCAGCAACTTTCTGCTGGGATGCTTTTTCTCAGAGTAGTTGGTCAGTGTTAATTGGAAGGTGGATAGATCTTAATACAAGACATAAAAAATAAAAGTAGTGTTGCTTGGGTAACAAAGTCCAGATCAGCAACCTGATCTGGAATTTGGACGAGTGAAGGAGTGCTACTTCTTTAACACACCTGAATCAAGTGAACTGCTATTAATCAGGCCTCTGAAGGACTGCTTGACGTGGTGAGGATATCATTCAGTCATGTGACTAGTGTGTTGGAGCAGGACATTTTTAAAAACATGGCAGGATGGGTTGTTCACCCAAATCGGAGTTGGAGGCCCCTGTTAGAGGCTGTAAAGATCTGAGATTGGACAGAGGTTTACCTTAAATCAAGACAGTGGCCCCCGACATACAGCCAACACTGTCGTAGCTAATATAAAAAGGATTAGAATATTCCAGTTAAAGGTCAGACTGAAATCATATTCACCGTCAGTAACAAAGATAAAAACTGATGCTCATCAGCACATCCCATCGGGTCGTTCTGGGTTCTTTTGGGATTTCCTGAATTACTTTGCACTGATGTTGTCAAACTACCAAATGAATTCAGCACTTAACTTGAGGGGTAATTACTCCTTTAATTTGAATCAGGCTGATTTAGATTCCTCTCTTCCCTCAATAAATGAAATCTTAAGTTAAAATCTATGTTTTGTTTCTGTTTCTATTCTCTTTTGTTTTTGACTTTGATAATCTGAAACATTTAAATGTTTAAAAAAGTGCAAATAATCTTTTTTACAGCACTGTGTTCATATTCACATGTTCAAACAACACCCTGTCTGTGTAGATGATTACTGAAATGACAAATGTGACCCCTGCACCTTTTGGGGTTACGTTAGGTCAAATTCATAGTGAACCAATCACTCGAGAAGCCTGCATTTACCACAGTTCTGTAGAAAATAGCCCTTTTATGTTTTCCATGTTTATTATCATTCCCAAAATTATTGTGCAAATTCTCAATATTTGTTTTTCTTTATTTTATTGTCTGGTTTATTTTCTTTCTAACTGCCATCTGCAATCAACCACCTGCCTGTGAGCAGATTGGGTTGGGTATGAAATGTAATTGTAAACCTCCAAGCTATATGGTCCTGCATGTCACAGCCAAACATGTCATGATCTGGCCTTAGGTACCTTACAAATGTTATATTTCTGGGTTTTACTTTCCGCTCTCATGTTGCACCCATAAATGTTTTTGATTTATATTTTTAGGATAAGGATAGGTGAGCGAGTCCTTTTCTGTGAACAATCCACATATTTATTGGCTTTTTGCTGTGTAGTTTTCTAAAAAAGTATGATGTTGTGGAAATGAAAGATTATTTGTCATGTCAATGTGGGGGGTGGTACTTTATCCAAACCCCACTAACAACTTTTATGTTAAAAACAGCCTCATGTGTGCAATGAATTTATTATCTCTTTGATCAAAGATGGACCATAAATGGAATGAATGAATTAATTTATGTCATGATTCTCTTGCCATACCAATCACTCTATGACCTTCACCTAACCTCATTCACAGACATGTACACTGACATGCAGAGTGATAGGAAAGTTGGAGTCCACATGTCATGTCAAAGCTGCAATGAAACTTTTTAGATTGCAAGATGACTACTGTTCTCATTGAGCCACGGTTACCCTATGAACAAAACAGCAGTCATGAGAGGATGTTACACCACATGGTTTGGTTGAGAGTTGGAGCGATTGTAATGAAGTAGATCTGAAGAAGCTGCTGCAATAGAAGAAGTTACTGAAAATTATTGATGGCTAACATTAGGGCTTCTAAAGAAAAGGTTGAAAAGAAACAAGAATAATGTGGATTACTAAACAAGAAATAAAAAGTTTAAATCATATATTTTTTGGGTTTGTTTTTTCGCTTATTAGATATATTACAATCAGATTAGAATCAAATATTAAGAAGACAATCTCATAATCTTGAAAAAAATAATACATCAAAATTATTGTTTAAAAATCCATGTTGTCAGTGCTTCTTTTTATCGACTTTATAATTAATTGTGAAGTATGAATGATGAACCTAATCATCTCTAGCTTGGGAAAACTAAAAATTCAGCATAAATATGATATAATTCTACAACATTTCCTACCATTATTTTATCCTCGGGGAGTAATGTACAGAAATCTAATCTGAGTTCAGTAATTTCAGATTTTCTGAAAGAACAAGGAAATTGCATTTAGTTTTTTTTTCTTCTAAAAACCGAGTCACAGTTTTTATAATAATGTTTTGTTAAAACTACCCAACATCTACCTCAAACAAATGGAATAAAGAACTTAAACAGCAGTTTTTAGAGTGCATCCAATATTACCGGCTATTTATTTTAAACATTGGACCAATTCCTCATTTTGCACAAATAACATGCTAACTATATGTTCAATGTGTATAAAGTTTTAGCATAGACGCCACCACTAATTCTTCAGTATTCAGTAATATGATCATTCTGTCTATGAAAGATATTTTTCATAATTTAGTTGAAAGATTATTGAGATAATTTGGGTGTTGACTGTCTTTTGAAATGAAGAATTTTAACAAATAATAAATTTACTTGTTGATTAAATTATTAAAAAAATTAAAAAATGTGTTTCATCTGATTATTTGATAACTTGAGCTTAAAAATATGTATTTCAATGTTTTTGTGCTATTACTACCCACTAGAGGGCGGCACTGTTCATTCTTAAACAGAGCCTCAATGCAAATTTAGATTATGTCATTAATCAATAACTTGCATTCCTAATTGGAATGTGATGGTTTCTATGTTCCCTCTAGTTCTTTGACAGTGTTAGCACTAAGCTTTGACAAAAACCTTCTATTCAATTACTGTCATGTGATTTTTGCAGTGTTTTTCTGTATTCTTGTTTTCTTGTTATTTAAAGCAACACTGCATAACTTTTGAACCAATCATTAGCTGAATTTTAGATATATTAAAAGTTTTGTTTATGTGCAGTGTTGTTATTTGCTTTTATGGGCGGTAAACCCTAAAGTTACATATCTAGCACCCCTAGTGGCAGAAATATTACTACTGCTGAAATGAAATGCAAAAATAAAACAAACAAAAAAATGCCTTGCCAGAAGTTTTAATGTTTGTGCAATGCAGAAATAAGCTGTCACAAAGCATCGTCATTCCAGGAAAAATTGTGCATTGATAACAGCTAACAGTATCTTAGGCTCACTGCTTAGCAAGTAAAAGGTAGCTTTAGCTAATTTCAGCAAACTTGATGTTTAGTGTGAACGGATTACTATTATTATTGTTAAATCAACCCTTGAGGACATATAAAACATTAAAGTCTTATCAAATTGTTTATTCAAAATGGCAATCTTTTGAAAAATGTGGACATTTCTTGCATTTTCTATAATCACATAAAGCAAGTAGTTATTTTATACCTAGTGTTACCTTATAACTAGTTTAGCTTATTTCCCATCATCATAAAACTAAAAGTTAGGTTCAAGAAATAACCATGGAGTTTTTATATGTGAAGGAGATGGATTGCCATAAATTACTGAGGACCTCATGTCATTTGCCCTTCTTATGGCTCCATCCATCAGCAGGTCTAAATTTTTTCAGGTAAAAAATGTCTTTCCCACATGTATGGGCTGCACCCTGTGTGTCAGCAACTTATTATCTCTCACCAGCAGGTTACATGTTTAACTACAAGTCAGTACTGAACATTTCCACCCTAATGAACAATTACATTTATCAGCACACTTAATACACCTTCGAAGCCTGGCCTGCTGTAAAAGGTGTGCTCCGGCCTACTGGGGGGTGGGATCTGCTGTTGGGTGACTGATGACAGATGGCTTTTAACTGACAGTTTTAGCAGTTTTGTTGAAGTGAGGGTTTTAGGTCAGGGCAGAATGCAATGTCTGGAGGCGTTTCTAGCAGTACACCTTCCCAGCATAGGCTAACAAACAGGTTCCTCATTCTTCCCTTTATAATTATGTGTTTTGATCTGGCTGTACCCATATTAAAAAAAAACTAATTCCATATGTTGTTACTTAAAAGCCAGACACAGTCCGATTAAATACGAAGTGAAATAGTTTCTTATCAGATTTAGAAATAGGGAAAGTATTCAAACATAGATCATGGTTAAATGATTAAAAACATTATTAACTTCCATTAAAGTGTTTATTAAAAGAACATGTTTAAAATAGCATTATTTAAGCAGATATTAGAGATAACATTCCTTAAGCCCACAAGTATTTTATATGATCTACCAGTAGACATGATGATAGATGTCATACTATTACCATAAAA